AGGTGGTATTAGTGGTGCGCCTTGTAAGGACGTAGTTTAGTGGTGCTGCCTGGTAAGAGATAGTGTTAGTGGTTGCCGAGGAAGGAGGTGGTATTGTGGTGCGCCTGTGTAAGAGACTAGTGAGTGGTCTGCCGTGTAAGGACGATGTTTTGGGCTGCCTGAGGAAGAAGGTGGGATTTGTGGTGCTGCCTTGAAGAGGGGGGCGTAGTGTTAGGTGCTGCCTGAAAAGAAGGTGGTTTTAGTGGTGCTGCCTGTGTAAGAGACGTATTTAGTGGGGCGCCCGAGGAAGAGAGGTGGTGTTAGTGGGGCTGCCTGTGAAGAAACGTAGTGTTAGTGGCCCCGCCCGAGAAAGGAGGGGGTGTTTGTGGTGCTGCCTGTGTAAGAGACGTAGTGTTAGTGGTACTGCCTGAGAAAGAGAGGTGGTTTTTAGTGGTGCTGCCCGAGAAAGAGAGGTGGGGTTTTTTGGGCGCCTGAGAAAGGAGGTGGTGTTAAATGGGTTTCTGCCTGAGAAAGAGAGGTGGGGTTTTTTTGGTGCTGCCGAGAAAGGAGGTGGGTTGTGGTGCTGCCTGAGGAAAGAGGGGTGTTAGTGGTGCTGCCGAGAAAGAGAGGTGGTGTAGGTGCTGCCTGTGTAAAATAGTAGTGTAGGGTGCTGCCTGTGTAAAAAGACGTAGTGTTAGTGGGGCTGCCGAGGGAAAGGGGGTGGTGTTAGGGTGTGCCTGTGTAAAAAACGTAAGGGTTTGTGGTGCTGCCTGAGAAAGAGAGGTGGTGTTAGTGGTGCTGCCTGAGAAAGAGAGGTGGTGTTAGTGGTGCTGCCTGAGAAAGAGAGGTGGTGTTAGTGGTGCTGCCTGAGAAAGAGAGGTGGTGTTTTGGGGCGCCTGAGAAAGAGGGGGTGTTTGTGGGGCTGCCTGAGAAAGGAGGTGGTGTTAGTGGGGCTGCCCGAGAAAGGAGGTGGGGTTAGGGGTGCCGTGAAAAAGAGTAGTGTTATGGTGCTGCCCGTTAAGAGACGTATTTTGTGGTGCGCCTGAGGAAAAAGGGTGGTGTTAGTGGGGGCGCCTTGTAAGAAACGTTGGTTAGTGGTGCTCCTGGAAAGGAGGGGGTGTTTGTGGGGCTGCTGTGTAAGGACGATGTTATGGTGCGGGCCCGGGAAAGAGAGGTGGTTTAGTGGGGTGCCCGTGTAAGGACGTAGTGTTAGTGGTGCTGCCCGAGAAAGAGAGGGGGGTGTTAGTGGTGCTGCCGAGAAAGAGAGGTGGGTTAGTGGTGCTGCCGAAAAGGAGGGGTGTTAGTGGTCTGCCTGAGAAAGAAGGGGGGTGTTAGTGGGGGCTGCCTGAGAAAGAGAGGGGGTGTTAGTGTGCTGCTGAGAAAGAGAGGTGGGTTTGTGGTGCTGCCCGAGGGAAAAGAGGGGGGGGGGGTTTGTGGTGTGCCCAGGAAAAGAGGTGGTGTTTGGGGTGCCTGAGGGAAAAGAGGTGGGTTTTTGGTGCGCCTGAGGAAGAGAGGGGTTTTTTAGTGGGGCTGGCCCCCGAGGAAAGGGTGGCTTAGGGGGCTCCCGAGGAAAAAGAGGGGGGTGTTATGGTGCTGCCTGAGGAAGAGAGGTGGTGTTAGTGGTGCGCTGGGGAAGAGGGTGGTGTTAGTGTGCTGCCTGAGAAGAGAGGTGGTGTTTGTGGGGCTGCCTGAGGAAAGAGGTGTGTTAGTGGGGCTGCCTGAGGAAAAAGAGGTGGTGTTAGTGGGGCTGCCTGAGGAAAAAGAGGTGGTTGTTTGTGTGCTGCCTGGTGTAAAACGTAGTGTTAGTGGTGCTTCCCGAGAAAAGAGGTGGGTTAGTGGGGCTGCCTGAGGAAGAGAGGTGGGGTTGTGGGGCGCTTGTGAAAAAAGGGCGTAGTGTTAAAAGGGGGCTGCCTGTGAAGAGAATTTGGTTAATGGGGTGCCTGAAGAAGAGAGGTGGTGTTAGTGGAGTGCCCGAGGGGCACTATCTTCACCCCCTACCCCTTTATAGACAACTCCTCTCACAGCTCCTCATCATTTTATAATCTTTCCCCCCATTCCATCCACGTCTTTCCTCTCTCTTTCTTCTTTTCCCCCCCCTCTATTTTCACCTTTTTTCTTCCCCCTTCTCTCTCTCTCCTCTCTCTCTCTCTCTCCTCTCTCTCTCTCTCTCTCCCCTCTCTCTCTCTCTCTCTCCTCCTCGCTCTCTTCTCTCTCTCTCTCCTCCTTCTCTCTCCCCCTCTTTCCCCTCTCTCTCTCTTCTCTCTCTCTCTCTCTCTTCCCCCTCTTCTCTTTTTATTTTTAACTTTTTTATCCCAAAATCTTCCTTTTTATCTTCCTATTCCCTCTTCTGTTTTTTTTTTTTTGCTTCCTTGTTTTTCTCCTCTACCATTTCTGTTTTTGTTTTTATGACTATGTATACAACCAGCTGTTTTTGACGGGGAAAATGACGGGGGCACCCATGCTGTGTGCGGGAAAATGACAGGGCAACCCCTGTTGTGTGACGGAATAGACAGGACAACCCATGCTGTGGACGGCTATTTCGGGGGAACCCATGCTGTGTGCGGAATATGGGAAAGGGGAACCCATGCTATGTGCGGAATATGACAGGGCAACCCATGCGTGTGATGAAATTGAAGGGGAACCCATGCTGTGTACGGAAAATATTTTTTCAGGGGAACCCAGCTGTGTGACGGAATATGACAGGGCAACCCATCTATGTGACGGAATAGGACAGGGCAACCCATGTGTGTGAGAAATATGGGGGGGAACCCATGCGTGGACGGATATGAAGGGCAACCCCCTGCTGTGTGACGGAAAATGCAGGGCAACCCATGCTGTGTGAGGAATATGCAGGGGCAAAACCCCTGTGTGGACGGGAATATGACAGGGCAACCCATGCTGTGTGACGGAAAAAGACAGGCAACCCCCGCTGTGGACGGAATATGCAGGGGAACCCATGCTGTGTGATGAAATATGACAGGGCAACCCCTGCTGTGTAACGGAATATGACAGGGCAACCCATGCTGTGTGACGGAATATGACAGGGCAACCCATGCTGTGTGTGACGGAACATGATAGGGAAACCCCATGTTGTGTGACGGAATATGACAGGGCAACCCATGCTGTGTGACGGAATATGACAGGGAAAACCCATGCTGTGTGACGGAATATGACAGGGCAAACCCATGCTGTGTGACGGAATATGACAGGGCAACCCATGTTGTGTGATGGAATATGACAGGGCAACCCATGTTGTGTGACGGAATATGACAGGGCAACCCATGCTGTGTGACGGAATATGACAGGACAACCCATGCTGTGTGACGGAATATGACAGGGGAACCCATGCTGTGTGACGGAATATGACAGGGCAACCCATGCTGTGTGATGAAATATGACAGGGCAACCCATGCTGTGTGACGGAATATGACAGGGCAACCCATGCTGTGTGACGGAATATGACAGGGCAACCCATGCTGTGTGACGGAACATGATAGGGCAACCCATGTTGTGTGACGGAATATGACAGGGCAACCCATGCTGTGTGACGGAATATGACAGGGCAACCCATGCTGTGTGACGGAATACGACAGGGCAACCCATGCTGTGTGACGGAATATGACAGGGCAACCCATGTTGTGTGACGGAATATGACAGGGCAACCCATGTTGTGTGACGGAATATGACAGGGCAACCCATGCTGTGTGACGGAATATGACAGGACAACCCATGCTGTGTGACGGAATATGACAGGGCAACCCATGTTGTGTGACGGAATATGACAGGGAAACCCATGCTGTGTGACGGAATATGACAGGGCAACCCATGCTGTGTGACGGAATATGACAGGGCAACCCATGTTGTGTGACGGAATATGACAGGGCAACCCATGCTGTGTAATGAAATATGACAGGGCAACCCATGCTGTGTGACGGAATATGACAGGGCAACCCATGCTGTGTGACGGAATATGACAGGGCAACCCATGCTGTGTGACGGAACATGATAGGGCAACCCATGTTGTGTGACGGAATATGACAGGGCAACCCATGCTGTGTGACGGAATATGACAGGGCAACCCATGTTGTGTGACGGAATATGACAGGGCAACCCATGTTGTGTGACGGAATATGACAGGGCAACCCATGCTGTGTGACGGAATATGACAGGACAACCCATGCTGTGTGACGGAATATGACAGGGCAACCCATGTTGTGTGACGGAATATGACAGGGAAACCCATGCTGTGTGACGGAATATGATAGGGCAACCCATGCTATGTGACGGAATATGACAGGGCAACCCATGTTGTGTGACGGAATATGACAGGGCAACCCATGCTGTGTGACGGAATATGACAGGGCAACCCATGCTGTGTGACGGAATATGACAGGGCAACCCATGCTGTGTGACGGAATATGACAGGGCAACCCATGCTGTGTGACGGAACATGATAGGGCAACCCATGTTGTGTGACGGAATATGACAGGGCAACCCATGCTGTGTGACGGAATTATGACAGGGCAACCCATGCTGTGTGACGGAATATGACAGGGCAACCCATGCTGTGTGACGGAATATGACAGGGCAACCCATGCTGTGTGACGGAACATGATAGGGCAACCCATGTTGTGTGACGGAATATGACAGGGCAACCCATGCTGTGTGACGGAATATGACAGGGCAACCCATGCTGTGTGACGGAATATGACAGGGCAACCCATGCTGTGTGACGGAATATGACAGGGCAACCCATGCTGTGTGACGGAATATGACAGGGTAACCCATGCTGTGTGACGGAATATGACAGGGCAACCCATGCTGTGTGACGGAATATGACAGGATAAACACTACTTATTTTTGCCCCCACTGTGTAACTACCACACAAAATAGCGCAACAGAACACAGTTGGTGTACACATTTGGGATAAATTAAAATAACCGAAGATTTCCCTGTCCTTTCTGTCTTTCTCCTGTCCCTTGTTGGTGACCCGTCTTGCCTGCTGGTGTGTTCTGCCTCACCTGACGTAGGGTTGACGTGATACCAGGTGACTGGGGCTGCCTGTGATGAGACGCCAGTGATGACACAGGTGATGTTAAGGTCACTGCCAGCCTTCATGAAGACTGCTCTTGATCCATAGATGGTCGCCTTGGGCACTGTTGGCAAGACAGTGAAAGACATTGCTGTTGAGTGTTATTATTATTATAAATCTGCTTAATAATGGTCAACTTAGAATCGAAATGTTGTCTAAGCTTCAGTGAGAATTTTTTTGCTTAGTTAAAGTTGGTTAAAAGGGGGTTTAAATCCTGTCTACTACACGAGGGTCATTAAGGTTGCCTGTTACCTGTTCACCACCAGTCAAGAATACTTTAATACCTAAAACAGTGATTAATGTAAACTACCAATGTATATACACTGAGAAACAGACACCTGTCAGTGTATATACACTGATAAACAGACACCTGTCAGTGTATATACACTGAGAAACATACACCTGTGAGTGTATATACACTGAGAAACATACACCTGTCAGTGTATATACACTGAGAAACATACACCTGTCAGTGTATATACACTGAGAAACAGACACCTGTCAGTGTATATACACTGATAAACAGACACCTGTCAGTGTATATACACTGAGAAACAGACACCTGTCAGTGTATATACACTGATAAACAGACACCTGTCAGTGTATATACACTGAGAAACAGAAAACCTGTCAGTGTATATACACTGAGAAACATACACCTGCCCAGTGTATATACACTGAGAAACATACACTGTCAGTGTATATACACTGAGAACAACACCTGTCAGTGTATATACACTGAGAAACAGACACCTGTCAGTGTATATACACTGAGAAACAGACACCTGTCAGTGTATATACACTGAGAAACAGACACCTGTCAGTGTATATACACTGAGAAACAGACACCTGTCATGTGTATATACACTGAGAAACATACACCTGTCAGTGTATATACACTGAGAAACAGACACCTGTCAGTGTATATACACTGAGAAACAGACACCTGTCAGTGTATATACACTGAGAAACAGGACACCTGTCAGTGTATATACACTGAGAAACAGACACCTGTCAGTGTTTTAACACTGAGAAACATACACCTGTCAGTGTATATACACTGAGAAACAGACACCTGTCAGTGTATATACACTGAGAAACAGACACCTGTCAGTGTATATACACTGAGAAACATACACCTGTCAGTGTATATACACTGAGAAGCATACACCTGTCAGTGTATATACACTGAGAAACATACACCTGTCAGTGTATATACACTGAGAAACATACACCTGTCAGTGTATATACACTGAGAAACATACACCTGTCAGTGTATATACACTGAGAAACAGACACCTGTCAGTGTATATACACTGAGAAACAGACACCTGTCAGTGTATATACACTGAGAAACAGACACCTGTCAGTGTATATACACTGAGAAATAGACACCTGTCAGTATATATACACTGAGAAACAGACACCTGTCAGTGTATATACACTGAGAAACAGACACCTGTCAGTGTATATACACTGAGAAACAGACACCTGTCAGTGTATATACACTGAGAAACATACACCTGTCAGTGTATATACACTGAGAAACATACACCTGTCAGTGTATTGTGTCTTATATTCTATGAAGTATTCTTGTATTCGCATTTTAATAAAACAAACAACTGCCAAAAAAAAAAATCTCAAAATTACAATGAAAATAATTTTTTCGATTTTTTTCCCAAGAATTTCAACATTCCTATGACTTAACATGGTACACCTTTCTTTTTTGCAGCCAACTTGACCTAACTTAACTAAAGTATAAACAATAGTCTCAAACTGAAATTCAACATTAGCATGAAATTTCGTGTCCCACGTTAGTAATCGTGCGTGTACGACCCTCTGAGTCACTGAGTACGTGTTGACGTATGCTACGACCTGCGTGCTTTCAGGATGAATATGTACACATCTTCAGAGGGAGGTGATGAGTGCATGATGATGCTACTTAACCACTCACATGATGAGTGCATGATAATGCTACTTAACTACTCACATGATGAGTGGATGATGATGCTACTTAACTACTCACACGATGAGTGCATGATGATGCTACTTAACTACTTACATGATGAGTGCATGATGATGCTACTTAACTACTTACATGATGAGTGCATGATGATGCTACTTAACTACTTACATGATGAGTGCATGTAATGCTACTTAACTAACTCAATGATGAGTGGATGATGATGCTACTTAACTATCACCATGATGAGTGCATGATGATGCTACTTAACTACTCACACGATGAGTGCATGATGATGCTACTTAACTACTTACATGATGAGTGCATGATGATGCTACTTAACTACTTACATGATGAGTGCATGATGATGCTACTTAACTACTTACATGATGAGTGCATGATGATGCTACTTAACTACTTACATGATGAGTGCATGATGATGCTACTTAACTACTTACACGATGAG